CAGGGATGCTGTAATGTAATCCCCTGTAATTGGAGAACTCAGGGCCAGGGTGGCTTGGATGCAAATGCCTGCGAACGCGACTCCAAACTCCCTCTGCCCCGACGATGAAGTCAAATGGACCCGCTTGACTGCCATCCTTGAAGCGCAGGATGTTGTCTTCAGTGACCTCAGAGAGCCTTCGCCCCCATTGTATCACCCCTTCTGGGAGACTCTCGACGATAATTTGCCTCAACCGCACCCGATCAATCTCGGGCCGGGCAGCCTTCTCGCCAAACTCCGCGCCTCGAAGGTGGAAGTAGCAATTGAGCTGTGCATCACAGAAGCGCGTGTCATCCGCGTCATACCGCGCATGGCGCTCAAACTGGTGAAATAGTTGCGCCTTCTTTATAGCGAAAATGCCGGTGTCATGGTGAAGGTCGAGCGTGCCGCCCTGCTTGCGGAAGTTTGGTGAGGCATCTGATTCAAAGACGGTGACCTCCCTGTCGTCCTTCCCGTCGAGCACGAGCAGACGGGCCAGTAGCGAGCCGACTGGACCGGCTCCGACGATTGCGATTTTAAAAGGGGACGACATCCTGGTGGTTCAACTGAGCGCTGAGAGGATAGTGGACGATGCTGCATCGAGCGCATCTGCGATATCCTGAGACAGCAGGACATCTTATATACTCCAGCTTCGATGAACGGTTGAGACGTCATCGTGGTATCGATTGATGGCACCCGCTGCGCTCTATGATGGATCAACACTGATATTGGTTATCGCCGGTAAGATTTGGCATGAAGCCGGCTTAGCGCGCTCGCTTGCTTACGCCACCATGGCATTGGAAAATGCCTCTGCAGTTTGCCAGAACGTAAGACTGCATGAGCCTGCAGCAAGCTTGCATGGTCCGTCGCAAGGAGCGCAACTCAACGTTCCGGCAAAGGACGTAGTAAGTGATATCGGAGACTCAATACGCTCGGTACAGAGCTCAGTTTATGATCTGAGAGTGTTTGCTAGGTGGCTCGTTCAAAACATGTTGCCCGTAAGCTGCAGATCGGTCAGCTTCGCGTGAGCCGACTCCAGACATGTCATGAGCGCCACTGTCGTCATGAACGCTCATTCTTGATAGAGGTTGCGATGGCAGCTTATCAGAGTAGAAAGTGAAAACAAGAAAAAACCAAAAAGGAGTTTACCGAAACTACAAACGTAGCAAAAAGTAAATTTAAAGGGTCTTGCCGCGACTCGAACGCGGGGCCTCTCGCATATTAACTCAGGGTGAACCCTAAGCGAGAATCATACCACTAGACCACAAGACCGAACATTATAGACGGGCAAGACGATAGTAAATGAGCGAAATAACTGTACAAGCATTTGTTGAGGCGACATTCTTTGGAGTTGGAGTCCCTTTGGCAACGCATAGATGGAAAGTCTTTCCGTTATATGAAAATGCTCTACGGATACGAGGGTACTTATTGAGCTCATTGCGCGAAGCGTGGCGAAGCTTGTTGCTGTCAACAAGCATGCTTTACCAAAAAAAGAAATCGCGGGACAAAAATTTGGAGTCACCGGGAATCGAACCCGGGACCTCTCCCATGCTAAGGGAATATTATACCACTAAACCATGACCCCAGAACGTTGAATAAAAGGGCAAACATGGGTGAACGAGCTTAATAGGACAACGGATACATTGATTGGTCGATCGACACATGTGTCGACATATGTTCATACAGTCATTGGCGTAACGTCTATTTATAACATAATTTTTAATAATACAGCTCAATCGACTTGCTCTGCAGCTCTGCTTCACACGTTCTGATCGTACGGAGTACGAAGGGTAAGAAAATGATGAACGATCGAAAAAGCAAGGCGCCGTTCGGGCCGTCATGAGGGAGCGATAGTTCCTTACAATAGCCGTACTCGCAATACTTGGATTACCTGCGATACACAGGGTTGACTGGCGTCGGGTACTGTAACATTACGGCGTGATACTTCTCCGGATAGTGCTGTGTCTTGCTCCA